GCAGGGCTCCGTGTGTCACTCAGGACTGTGCAGGGGTGAGGCCACAGAGGGAGCAGTGCCGGCTCCTGCAGGGCTCTGTGTGTCACGCAGGACTGTCTCCTGTCCACTCAGCACTCTAAACCTGTCTCCTTCCAGGCAGCTCCCAGGCCTGACAGGACACAGACAGCCCTTCCTGAGCCTTCCTGGCACCCAGCCTGGAAGGGTGCCCCAGGCCTGAACTTTATATATATATTTATTTTTTTAGATGGAGTCTCCCTCTATCACCCAGGCTGGAGTGCAATGGTGCAATCTCAGCTCACTGCAACCTCCATCTCCCAGGTTCACGTGATTCTCCTGCCTCAGCCTCCCAAGTAGCTGGAATTACAGGCTCGTACCACCACATCTGGTTAAATTTTGCATTTTTAGTAGAGACGGGGTTTTGCCATGTTGGCCAGGCTGGTCTGGAACTCCTGACCTCAGGTGATCCACATGCCTCGGCCTCCCAAAGTGCTGAGATTACAGGCGTGAGCCACCGCGCCCTGCGGGGCCTGCACTTTTGACACTTCATTCTCCCGGCACACCCAGGAAGCTGCCCACATGGACGAGTTCCTCTTTTTAAGGCAGGAAGACAAATGAGGCCGCTCCATACTAACGTCATCAGAAACCGCCCTAGGCTTGGCCACAGCCTCCCACGTGGGCCAGGGGACTCCTGCCCCAAAGCAGAGGTGCTCACAGCACAAAACGTGGATGGCTTTGGAGGCCAAGACAGGCGGATCACCTGAGGTCGGGAGTTCAAGACCAGCCTGACCAACATGGTGAAACACCGCCTTTAAAAAAAAAAAAAAAAAAAAAAAACATGGACAGGGTGACAGGATGGAGGAGAAGACACCACAAGAGCCGGCGGGGCTGGGCACAGGCAGGGCGTCCTGGGTGCAGGCGAGAGGTAGCCGGTGCTGCCCTGGTGGCACCTCACTGTGGCTTGGGGCCAGCGGGGAGCTCAGCTGGTGTTGGTGGAAGGCCCAGGCCTCCACCCCAACCGTGCCAGGGCACCGCCTGGGGCTGCAGGGCTGGAGAGCCGCAGCTCCCTTTCCCAGGGGCCTGGAGTCCAGGGGCGGCTTCTAGTTCTTGAATATGGAAGGTGGGAATCCAGGCAAGGCAGCCACTTCTCCGCTGGCCACACAAGGTCCTGGCTCACGGGGCGTCCCGGCCGCAGGCCACCTTGCGGAGGTGTACACGTGAAGGCATTGGCTCCCGCACAGGCCCCAGCCCACCGCCTCCCTGATGAGCAGTGGGTGTGGGGCCTCGTGCCCAGAGTCTTCCCTCAGGACCCATCAGAAGGCACCCCCTGCAGGTGACTCTCAAGGGCCAGATTCTGGAGCTGTTCATCCAGTCTCAGAGGGTCCCATCAGCCAAGAAGATGGGCAGCCACAGTGAGCTTCCAAAACCCTCCTTTGGGATGAGGTGGCCATGGGCAGTGAGGTGAGGCTTGGGGACAGCGCGAGGCTTCATCGTGAGGGCGGGAGGGAGAGAAAGCAAGGGCAGATGCCAGAAGCCGCCTCCGGTGAACGTCACACTTGCAGGGAGCGTGACACACGCCGGGCTTTTACTGTTTGGTGCAAGATGCAGCCAGGCATGGAGCATGTCTGCCAGTGACATGCTGGGAAGGCAGAGACTGACGCTGGCGGAGGGCGCAGTACATGTGGCTGACCGGTGGGCGGAGGGGTCACCCAAGGAGGAACGGGGCCCCAGGGCAGAGAGCAGCCTCCGCGGATGCCAGCAGGGACACAGAGTCGTCAGCCCTGCAACCTCAAGGTCCCGGATTCTGCCAACGCCCAACTAAGCCTGGACAAAGATTCCTCCCGGAGTCTCCAGGCTGGAGTCCAGCCCAGCCACACCTTGACTGTGGCCTGTGGGACTCTAAGCAGAGAGTCCAGCCGAACCCACATGGGGAGAAAGACCGGAGCTAAAAATGGGTGCTGTTTTATGCTGTGAGCACCTCTGCTTCGGGGACTTTGAGATGATTATGCCTCAGCCCAAACCTGCATTGTAGCCTGGGGGTGACCCAGGAGCAACACCAAGCGTGAAAACAGAAAGAGTGAGACAGTGAGTGGGGGCGACCACAGGACACTGACAGGCACAGGGCCTGGGCGGACACAGAACACGGGGTGATGATGGGACACAGGTGGCCATGGCCAGACCCTGGTAGCATGGGACATGGTAGAGCATGGAAGCTGAGCTGCCCAGCCCACCCTGGCGACCATCCGACCCAGCGACCTGTCAGCAGAAACTTCCAGGGAGCGGGGTATGGCCTTGCTCACTGCTGTCCTCCCCCACCTGAGTTCCTCTAGGTGACAGACTTGAATCTTCACCCTGGCCATGGAGAGGGATCTGGGGAAAGCTCTGGAGAAGGGCCTCACAGCAGGGTCCAGTGTGCCCAGAAAACGGGCAGTGGCATGGGAGCAGGTGCCAGGGTCCCATCTGATCCCTGGGTCACACTTCAGGGGTGACTTCTTGAAGTCAGCAGCTCCGGTGGCAGCCTGACAATTCCTCAGTTTAGCGGCGGCATTACTATGCGTGGAGTCCACCCCTGGTCCCACACTGAGCCTGATCCTGGTTACACACTGATCCCAATCCAACTCACAAGTTGAGCTCTGACATTTGTTGCATGCTGAGCCCTGCTCTTGATCACACACTGAGCCCTGATCCTGGTCTCAAGCTGAACCCTGGCATTTGTTTCATGCTGAGTCATGCTCCTGATCACACACTGAGCCCTGATCCTGGTCACAAGCTGAGCCCTGGCATTTGTTACATGCTGAACCCTGCTCCTGATCACACACTGAGCCCTGATCCTGGTCACAAGCTGAGCCCTGGCATTTGATACATGCTGAGCCCTGCTCCTGATCACACACTGAGCCCTGATCCTGGTCTCAAGCTGAGCCCTGACATTTTTTTACCTGCTAAGCCCTGATCTTAGTCAGAAGCTGATCCCTGACATTTGTTACGTGCTGAGCCCCGATCTTGATCATACACTGAGCCCTGACCCAGAATTTCCTGGTGGACCTGAGGAGAGAAGGGTGTGGCCCTCTCAGAACACAGTCCTCCCAGCCAGAGCCAGCCCAGACCCTGGCTGGGCCACATTTTTCCACACCCCAATCAAGAGCTGAAACTTTGCAGAAAGGCTTAGCCTGGATCTTTCCAGCAAAGGTCAGGCAGAAATTCTAGGAGGAGCTGAATGCCTGGGGGCCAGGCGTGTGTTCTGGGTAGAAGGCACAGGTGGGGCCCCTGGGTCTGAGGACAGGAAGGAGTTGGGCCATGCCATGGCAGAGGAATTGGGTCAGGCCTCAAGAGGAACCCAGGGTGTGTAGGGTGGGGTGTCTAATCCGGTTAGCTGCGCCCGGCATCTACGGCCCATTGCACTGTGGCTGAGTGGCACCACCCAGGCAAAACCAGACAGGCTCGCTGCTGCGCGGCCTTCACCCAGCCCAGGCTGGGCGGCCTGGCCTAAGTCAATTGCTTCTCAGAGCCACAGTTCCCTTATGCAAAATAAATTCATTTGCACTGTGAGCCTCCAGCGCTACAGTGAGGAAAAGTGAGATCCGCTAGGCCAAGTCTTTGACACAAGTGGGGTGCTAAGGAATCCTGGGTGCCCCCGTCACCACCTCTGAACGCTCTGCCCCCACCTAGTACTCAGGAGACACAGGCTGTCCCAGCCACTGGGCCAAAGACCAGATCCCAGATAGCTGATCCAGAAGGAGAGCCTGGGGACCCTAAAAGGGCCATGGCGGGGAGGGGGTGCAGGCAGGAGAGTGCAGTCTCCCAGAGATGGAATTTCAGCCACTGGGGCTGGTGAAGGAGAGGGAAGGGCATTCCTGGCAGTGGGAACAGCAGGAGTGAAGACCAGGAGGGGGTGGGATTCGGGTGCCCGGGCTGGGCGTAGCTCAGTGAGATCATGGCCTTGAACGCCAGGCCCCAGGAAGACGCAGGCTGCTGTCAAGGGCTTAGTCCCCCCAACCCTCCACACTGGCAGCTGCAGGCCTTGGGCCGGGGTGGCAGGACCACAGGCCAGACACTACCTGGTGAGGCTGGTGCAAGCATTCTGCAGGGGTGTCTGTCGGGGGAGCGGGGAGCTGAGCAGGAGACACCTGGAGTCACCCCAACCCAAAGCCACTGTCTCCTGTCTGAGCCGCGGGCAAGGAACGATCCCTCCATTTCCTTACCTGCAAGGAGGCCTGGCGAGCACCGCCTGAGGGCAGCCTTATCGGGAGGTTGGAGGTTGAGGTGTCGGACCAGCAGGCAGCCAAGGGGCCTGGGATTAGCGCCCGCAAGGCGACCCCGGCTTCTCCCAACCCCACTCTCCAACTAGGACCTTCTCTGCTCACACGGTAGTTTTTGGCATTTGCCTCCTTAAGCCTCTGAGCAAACCCTGTAGCTGGCTGTCGGGGTGGGGCTCAGTCCCAGACCCCTGACACCCAGCCTGACCACTCGAAGGAAATCAGACGTGGGGCCACGGTCCTCCCGGGAACATTCCAGCCCAGAGTCTGGGAAGCTCCAGCAGCGGGCTCTCCCCTGGAACACAGGTGGCCTGAGGCAGGAGGGATACCTGAGGAACCAGCAGGCAAGGGTGGCCTGCCACCGTCCCTGTCCCCTTCCAGATAGCGGGTCGGTGGGGGGGAGTCCCTGGGCTGCCTGGCGTGAGCCAGAGGGGAGTGGGGCGAAGATCCGCAGCACAGGGTGTTTAGGAGTCTTGAGGAGGGTCCCCACAAAGGGAAAGGGGGCAGCCCCAGGCCACGGCGGCGGGGGTGGAGAGCTGGAGGGGCCAGGAAGGGGCAGGGAGGAGACCAGGCTGGTACTGGAGGAATGAGGAAGGCACGGGGAGGGTCCCAGGCGTGTGGGGTGGGGGTGGGAGGAGCTGCAGTGAAAGGTGGGGAGTTACCGGAGGCCGGCCTGGGTGGGGTCTTCACACCTTCACCCTGGGGAAACTTGATCTCGTTAATCTGCTCAGCAGACCGGTCCGGCGGCCACTGCACTCGGAATCGCCGTCCCCGCCGGGCAAGCCCAGGGCGAGAGCACAGAGTGGGCCGGGACCATGCTGGGGATGAGGCTGGCGCGGCTGGTGCTCCTGGCACTCCTGCTGGCTGCCTGCGGAGAGCTCGGTGAGGCGTGGGACCCACAGGGGAGCTGGGGCGGAGAGAGACACCACCCACCGACATTCACACAGCGTTCCCAGGGAGGGGACCCCAGGAAGGAGCCTCGGAGGCAGGAGGAGCCAGAGGAGTGGGACCACAGGGCCGAGTGCCACCCCTGACCATAAGGAGGGGAGGTGGACGTGGAGAGAGGGCAGAGGGTGAGGGGGGCGCCCACCCTAATGAGGGTGAGCAGAGTGTGGCCTTTGAGGTGGGCGGGGCCAGCCCACCACACCCCGGGGCACCAGCCTACATGTCAAATTTTATGGGGGGCTATGGGCACCCAGAAGGGTCTTGAGCTGGGGAAGGAAGGGGTCCCCAGGGAGGCTCTGCGTCTCGGTGGCTGTGTGGATGGAGAAGAGTGGGGAAGCCAGACACCTGGGGTGGGCTGACTCCTAGATGCGGGGCCTGAGCCGCCATCGGGGCAGCGTCCTGGACTCAAACAGAAGAGCAGCTTGGCCGGGGGCCCCCGGCGGATGGCTCTGCCCATTTCCCACAAACAGGGGCACCAGAAAGGGCAGAGGCCCCGCCGGCTACCACCGTGGGGACGGAGGGGTCGGGTCTTGCTGTGCAGCCGGCTGCCTGGGCCAGCTGGAGCCAGCCAGACCCACCTGGGCTGCTGTGGTTGGGGTGGGAGGGGGTCACCGGAGCAGGAAGGAATTGGAGCAGCTCCGATCCCCGCCCCTGCCGGTCTGCAAGTCTCAGGGAGAGGAGTGAGCATCCAGACACAGCCTGGACGCAGCCTGGCCCACCCTGCACTCCACGGCCTCCTGGCTTGTCCCGAATCCCCACAGCAGGACTTCCCTGATGGGGAAACTGAGGGGGTGACCTGCTCCCAGCCACACCCCCAGGCTTCCCGCCCCAGGTGCCTTTCGCTGTGAGGATGCTAGGGCCTCGGTCCTCCTGAGCCTCCCCAAAACTTCCAAAGGAGCTCGGCCCCCACCCCAGCAGCACACTCTGCCTCTGGAACGCAGGGTCCTGAGGCTGAGCCTGGCCCAGCCCCAGCCCCAGGGTCCTGGTATTGCTCCTGAGCTTAGGCTGGTGGGCACCTTGGCCCTGGGCAGGGCCACTGTCCCCTCAGACCCGGGCTTCCAGGGCAGACTGACTCTGGACTTGAGAGGGGCAGAACCTGCCTAATGGCCCTCGTCCCTTCTCTCCAGTGCTGGCCCTGCGCTGCTACGTCTGTCCCGAGCCCACAGGAGCGTCTGACTGCGTCACCATCGCCAACTGTACCACCAACGAAACCATGTGCAAGACCACACTCTACTCCCGGGAGATAGGTCAGTGGGCTGGGAGCGGGCGCGGCTGGGTTCCAGCTCAGAGCCACCTCCTGCCCAGTGGTCACCAGCCAACTCGGCCCCAGTGCACAGCCACTACCTCACCCATCTGCAAAAAAGGGCTTTCTGATGGGCGAGGGCCCCCTGTGCCCTCCCCTCCCTTCCTCTCTCCCTCTGCTCCTTCAGTGGGCACGAACCTGCAGCCTTGTTTTGGGATGGCTGGGAAGGTGGGCGCACTGACAGGCTTTGGCTTCACGGTCACATCAGAGTGGGAACTGCCCCATCCAGCCGGGTGCAGAATGCCGGCTGTGTGCCTGGCACATGGTAGGCACCCGGCCAACATCGGTGCAGGGAAGAGATAGAGGAGGGACGGAGACCCGGAGGGGTCACCCCAGAGTGAGTGCTGCAAGAGGCGGTGCTGGCAGGGACCAGGGCTGGGAGGCAGCAAGGACCAGCCCTGATGGCCAACTCTGCACACATCCCACAGTGTACCCCTTCCAGGGGGACTCCACGGTGACCAAGTCCTGCGCCAGCAAGTGTGAGCCCTCGGATGTGGATGGCATCGGCCAGACCCGGCCCGTGTCCTGCTGCAACACTGAGCTGTGCAATGTAGACGGGGTGCCCACTCTGGACCGCCCCCACTGCCTGGCCGGGGCCCTCATGCTTCTCCTGGTCTTTAGCCTTGGACCCTAGAGTGCCCACCCACCCCCACAGCCCCACCCCAGCTGGCCTGTGCCGCCTGCTCTGAATGCCTTGAAGAAGTACGACCTGCACCAGGACTCCTGAGTCTCCTTTCTGGGCACCGACCCGCCTTCCAGGGCAGAGAGAGGAGCTCCCAGCTGCGTCTCTGACCCCATCTGTGTCCTCGTCCCTGTCTGTCTCTCTTCCTGCCTTCCTGTGATGTTAAGCTCTATCCCATTGCAAGAACAGCCATTAGGCCTGGGACCCCCACACAAACCATGCAGATCTCTGCCTCTTAGCTCTCTGGGGACATGGGGGCCTGACCAGGGTGGGGCAGGAGCTGAGACCCGTGGGCAGGGGAGCACCACATCTACCAGTGTGCAGTCAGGGCAAGCTCCCTGGAGGAGGGAGCATTAGGGCCAGGCCTTGAATGACGGAGAGATCTGGCAGGCCTTGAGGAGGGCAAGGCATGTCAGGTGGAAGGAAGGTCAGGGTAGTGACCAGGAGCTGGGGTTGTCCCCTGGAGCACCCCACTGCCCACCTCCCCAGCCTGAGCAGGGCCTTGGCACAAGGCTGATGGTGGAGGCTACTTCGAGGAGGAGGCCACAGGTCAGATCCCAGTGAGTCCACTGCCTGCCTCCCAGGCTCACCCCACGTGTCCACCTCACACCCTGCCCTCACTCAGCTCTGCTCCCAAGGGTCAGTGCCCAGGACAGCCACAAGTTCTGGTGCAGGAGGGGCCTTCATTTCACCTTGGCCCTGAGCCCACACCCCAGTCCTCCAGGCCGACTCTCCAGGGAGTCTCTAGGCGGAGACGCCCCGTGATCACAGGCAGGGACATGCGTGTACGTGGTCCTAGAAACACACAAGGAACTCAAGGACTTGGGGAAGGACAGGAGCCAGCGGCCTCCGCCTAGCGCCAGCCCCTCCCCAGGGCTGCCTGGGAGGTGGTGGCAAGAGATGCGCCCCGGCCTGGCCAGAAGAAGAGAATGCTCACCCTGGAACCTGCCCTTCCTCTTGGACCCAGCGGACCCCCTGCTCAGCCCACCCACCTCACCCTCCCTGCTCCAGCACTGCTTCTGGGCCCAAGGGTGTCAACTCCTGGGGCAAGACCTGTAGCCCACAGCGGGATCTATGGTTCAGGGTCTAGTCCTGGGGCCAGGCCCCCACCACCTAGTGTGCCCCACCAGCCGGGGCACAGCTCAGCACAGCACAGCACTATCTGTCACACACGCCTTGGTGCTAAAAAGACCACAGCCTCCTGGGGAGGGAGGGCCTGGAACATTCTAGTGCTGTGACCCTGAGCTCTGATTTTGTCAGGAGGGAGATGTGCTCTTAGCCATCAAACACATCACACCTCTCACCTGGCTTTTCTCAAGACTCTCACAAAGTGGCCTCAAAGCCTGGGCTGAGACTCCACACACACACACACACACACACACACACACACACACACCCCACACAAACACACATGCATTCCACAACCCCCACCGAGACTGGGAACAAGGCCTATCTGTGACTAGAGATCAGGGCTCAGCCTGAAGTCAGGATCAGGGCTCAGTGTGTAACTAGTGGCAGGCCTTGATCTATGATTGACGTCAGAGCTCCGTGTGTGATCCTGTGGCTCAGTCATGGAGCAGGACTCAGTCAAGGATCGAGGATCGGGATTCAGTCTGTAACCAGGGACCAGGCTCAGTGTGTGTGGTCAGGAAACGGCTGCAGTCAATGAGAGGGGCACAGTTCAGGCCAAGCACAGGCTACGAGCGAAGCCCGATCCAAGCCTGAGAACCTTTCACCTTAACCTCACCATGCACGACGCCATCTTTCAGGTACCTGCCCCTGAGAGCCCTATGACCCAAGTCCTTCAACCAGGCTTGCTCCTCGGCTTGCCAGTGGGGTAGGAGAGGCTTATAATGAGGTGCCAGGACAGGGACCCAGGGTCCCCTCAGAGCAGTGGCCTGGGCAGTTTCACAGCCCGTAGAAATGGGCAGGGCAGGGCATGGCTTGATGGGGAAAGGAAGAGCCAGTGGTTCCAGACTTTGGTTAGGAAAGGAACCAGGAGCAGGGAGGGGAGGGGAGGGGCTGAACTCAGCATCTGGTGGCTCAGGCCACCCCCACCCCTGGTGGGCTGATGGAGTGGGCTCTGTTCTTCTCCCAGGACCTGCCAGCTCCAGCACCCTCTGCCCTGGCCCCATCACATCTGGCCCTGAAATTGGAGGAATGATGAGGCATCTCTTTTTCTCCCCCACTCCTGACCTCCCCCAGGCCACCCACTGTGACCTTCCAGAACAGGATGAGCACCTACCATACCTCCTCAGGGAGCAGGGCCCAGCCCACGACAGGGCAGGGAGGTCTGGATCTCAAATGTAGTCCAGAGAGCCAGGACAAGGCAGAGACTTAGAACCAGCCTTCAAGGGGACAAAGCACCCACTGGACCTCAGCCGCCACCTCCCATATCTCAGATGGAAGGGAGATGGACAGATAATTGGGTGGGTGGATGGTGGATGAATGGCGGATGGGGGATGAATGGGTGGGTGGGTGGGGGATGGATGGGGATGGGGGATGAATGGAAGATGGTGGATGAATGGGTGGGTGGATGGGTGGATGGATGGGGGATGGGAGATGAATGGGTGGGCGTGTGGCAGGTGAGTGGATGGGTGGGTGGGTGGATGGGGGATGGATGGAGGATGGATGGATGAATGGATGTGTGGATGGTGGATGGAAGGGAGATGGATGGATGAATGGGTGGGTAGATGGGGGATGGTGGATGAATGGGTGGGTGGATGGATGGGTGAGTGGATAAATGGGTGGGTGGGTGGATGGTGGATGGAAGGGAGATGGATGGATGAATGGATGGGTGGATAGGTGGGTAGGGGACAAACGGGGAATAGATGCAGGGGTGCATGGGTGGGGGGATGGATGGATCCCCAACCCCAGTGCCAGGACATCTTCCTCTTCCTCACCTCTGTGCCCACTGTCATCACACCATCTAAGCCACCAGCCAGTGTCCCTGGGTAGCCAGCGCAGCCACCTCCAGCTCCTTGCCTCCCCCTCGCCACCCAAGCCCATCGCTAAATCAGCAGCCAGACCTGACAGCTCACTCAGTACCTATCTATGCAAAAAACCTCTTGATCCTTCAAGGATCTTGACTAGCTGTCAGACTCACCTGTGAGGTATGATTGGCTCTGCAGCCTGGACACAGGTCAGAACCCAGGTGGGGGGTTCACACTGGCAAGTCCGAGTTCCTATGGAGGAAGGCCCGAGACAGGTCTGCCCCAGTAGGGCAGGTGCTGCTCTGAGGAGTAAGACTCCCATTTCTAGGGGTGTCAAAACCTGGGCTAAATTCTGTCAGAGGCTTCAAGAGCATTTGTACCCTGGGGAGAGGTCAGCCTGAGTGCCCACAAATATCCATCCTGGGTGACCTTGGAAGAAACATTAATCCTCTCTTTAACTACTCATCTACCCATTAGCTCCATTCATCCATCCATCCATCCATCCATCCATCCATCCACCCACCCTTCCTTCTATCCATCCATCTTCCAGCAAATGCTGCCGACAGTCAGCATGGCCAGACCTAGGCTTTGGAGGATTCTTAGAGGGATGGAAGCGTGTTCTTCCACTTGAGGAGATGACAGTCCAGCAGTCCCTCAGGCCAGCCCAGACAGGGGCTTTTTGACTGCATGCTGAAGGCAGTGGAGAGCCAGGGAGTGTTTCTGGGAAGAGAAGTGCCATGGGCCAGTTGGCATTTTAGCTGGTCTCTGAGTGCAGGGTGGAGAGTGTAGCCAAGGAGGAAGGGCCAGGCCCCGGGAGAGTGAGCTGGCACAGCAGGTGGCTGGAGCTTGGTGTGAACTGGCTCAGGGCTGCAGGTCTACCATGAATGAGAACTCTGGGGTTTGGGGAATTGAGCTGCCCTCAAAAAACCTGGTCTCCTGGTTCCACATGTGGGGAAAGGTGTGGATTCATGGAGAGGCGAGAGGAGGGAGGGCAGTCGCCTAACCAGGGCATAAATTCTCCCTGCCTGAGTTGTGTCTGACATAGTGCTGCTTTTCCACTTGCCAATCGGGTGCTGGGCTCAGGGACCGGTCAAGCTAGTGCCTACTCTTCCCACACAGCAGAAAGGCTCCTGTGCCCCTCTGCTGGCTGCTACTCCCACGCAGAGCACCCTCCAGGGCTTCCTTCTTTTAAAGCCCATGCAGGCAGCAGCCGAGGGTAGTGTCCCTGGCCTCAGCAACCACCACCTCTGCCCCAAGAACGCCTGCACTGTGATGGGCACAGAGCTAAGCTGAAGGCGTGCTGGAGACCCATCCTTTGTCACATACTTGCTAGTTTTCACAACCACCCTCTGGCAGATGTTCTCCTGACCAGTTTATAGATGAAAGAAAGTGGGGTGAGAATGTCTCGTGAGTAGACACGGGCCACACGGGAGGCCAGGAGGAGCTCAGGCTCCAGAACCAGACTGTCTCTGGCTCCACTTGAAACATCTGGGTGCGTCTGTAGACCAGGCCCTGGGGAGGGGCTGCTCTTGGCTGCCACCCTGCGCCTCCCCATGGCAGCCCTTTGTCTGATGGCAGTAACTACGCCCTCCCTTGCTTTCACCCCGCAGCCTCATACAACTCACCTCAGCCCACAAGGCCAGGTCACTTTGGATTTCACAACTACAAACAGAAAACCAAAGACAAGGAAAACAAGGGCCATCCGAAGGCCACAGATGGAGAGAGCGGCAGGCCGACACCCGAACCCAGGACTCCTGCTGCCAGCCCAGAGCTCCTTCCGGCATCAAATTCCGCCTCAGAAGGACTCACTCACTACACGTTTTTCTGCCCCAACTTTTATAGCCACCCATCCCTCCATCCCTGAATTCTCCCACCCATCATTTTTCACCCATCAACTCTCTTAAATGTCATTCAATAATCCATCCATCCTCCATCCATCCATCTGAAATCCACCCATCCACACATCTGGTCCACATCCACTCATGCATCCACCCACCCTTCCCCATCTATCCTCCCATCCACCCATCCATCCCCGAGCCAACCCATATTCATTCCCCACCCATCCATCTATCCATCCCCACCCATCCTCCATTCATCCTCCACCCATTCCTCATCCGCCCCCCAGCATCCACCCACTCATCCATCTATCCATCCTCCACCCATCTATCCACCCACCCCCACCCACCCCCCACCCATCCCCCATTCATCCGCTCATCTCATCCACTCATCTCTGCATACAACCACCCATTAGGACATCACGGGACGGAGACACCAGGGAGGCTGGCATGGCTGAAGGACAGTGGAGGAGGAGCACCGTCGCCGGCCTCACAGCATGGGGAAGATGCGGACGTGAGATAGGAGAGCAGGCAGTGTGCTCACTGAGAGGCAGGCAGAGGCAGGCATGGGTAAGGAGCGGCCTGTAGTGGGAGACAGGAAGTGAAGAGCCGACAACGGAGGCCAGGAGGCTGGAGGGTGGGCAGAGCCCTGCTGTCAGACGCCTAAAACCAAGACACTCAGGCTTGGTCTAAAGGCCATCAGTGGGAAGGGCCTGGCAGCGATGAAGACCACTCCTGGGCCCATCCTTGCCAGCCTGAGCAAGGTCTGGCTGGCCCATGCTCCTCTCACCTGACACCTGCTTCCTGCCTCTGGCCTCCACTTTGCAGGTGTGACAGGTGCACACCAGGTAGAGGCGTGTGGAGGGGCTGCAGGGAGGGGGTGCCAGGCAGGGCTAGAGCAACAAGGGCAGAGGCCGCACTGAACCTGGGTCTTAAGGGTCCCCAAGGCTGGAGCTGGGTGGCCTATGTGAACCCCAGAGGCACAGCCAGGATATGTGGCTCATCAGAGCTGCAGTCTGAGCTCAGTGGGAAAGGCCTTCTCTGCAGAGCTGTCCCAGGACCACAGGACATGGCTGGGGAGGGGTGAGTTCCCCAGTGTTGGAGGTGTGCAAGCAGAGGGCAAGGCCATCATCCTCAGACAGAGCTCCCAAAGCCAGCTCCCTGCCTGCCTGCCATGTTCCTGCCAGCTGCCTCCCCACTGGGCCCGCCTGCCATGTTTCTGCCAGCTGCCTCCCCACTGGGCCCGCCTGCCATGTTCCTGCCAGCTGCCTCCCCACTGGGCCCTGTACCACCTTCCTGACTCACACGGCCAGTTCCACCACCGCCCAGGAGCGGTTGCCCAAGGGGCTGGGTATAAACCCCTGACGTGAGGCCGGCTGCCTCTCACTGCTCCTGAGCACAGAGGAATGGCCTCTCGCTGGGCTGTGCAGCTGCTGCTCGTGACAGCCTGGAGCATGGGCTTTGGTGAGTGGGCTACAAGCTGGTGGGGACCCTGCCTCTGAGCTTGCCTGCCCACTGCCTAGGGGGCTGGGGCTGTTGGGGGCACTTTGTGGCTGAGGGCCTCCTTAGGTGTCCATGGGCTCACCCTCCTCATTCTCAGCGAGCCTCCTGGTTCCCAGAGCCCAGCTTCACCCTGGGACAGGGGTCATGACTCCATTCTGCAGGAAGGGAGACTGAGGCTTGGTGGAGGGATGCGGCATTCAAGTCTGTGGCTCAGCCAACGGGACCTTGAAGCATGTCAGTGGGACTCCTTCAGCCCGAGCTCCTGGTTCCGGGTGAGGCCCCCGAGGCCAGGCGATGAGTTCTGCCTCCACCCCTTGCCCAGGTGAAGCCTTCAGGTGCTACAGCTGTGAGCAGCCCACAGACGCTGCCTTCTGCAAGAACATTACCTACTGCAAGCCGGAGCACACAGCCTGCACGACCAAGCTGGTGATGGTGGAGGCAGGTGAGGCCTGGCCCGAGGCAGCCCTGGGTGCCTGGAGTCAGGGCCACGTCCCCCACGTACCTCCCTCCTTTGCTGGTGCCCCTCTGGACCCTAAAGGCAGCAGGTGGGAAGGGCAGGACAGGCTACCACCCCTTAGAAGGAGTGCCTTCCATGAGGGTGGCACAGCCCCCTGAGACCAGTCCTGGGGCACCAGGCACTGGTGGTGGAGGGGGCTTAAAGGCAGGGGTCCCCCGTGGGGCTCAAACCCCAGCTCTGGCACAGACCCAGTAGGTGCTGTTGCCACAGCTTCTGGGCTCAGGCTGCCATCTCGGGGCGGGCACTGAAGTCCGACAAGGCCTGGTGTTATAATTCATAAACAGGTCACAGCTGGAGGAGGCTGGGCCTGGGAGGCTTCACAGATCTGGGCCATTAGGAATTGGGGATCGCAGGGAGGGCAAGGTCAGGGGCAAGGCTGGGAGCAGTGCAGTGCAGGCAGGCACTGCAGGCGGGTGTGGGTTCTGACGATGGCCCACCCCGCAGAGTACCCCTTCCAGCAGAGACCCGTGGTGACCCGCTCCTGCTCGAGCTCCTGCATCGCCACCGACCCCGACAGCATTGGGGACGCCCACCTGGTCTTCTGCTGCTTCCGAGACCTCTGCAACTCGGAACTGGGAGCCTAGGGTGGCAGGGTGGAAGGCGCTCCTCGGGCGCCTCCCGTCTGACGGGGCCTGGCTCCGCCTGCGTCACCTCCCCCTGCTTCCTGCTGCTGGGGCACAGCTCACTCAAGGGGTCTGAGGGGAGAGAACCACACCACGGGCACCCTCTGCCTTCCACACCCCAAACTTATAAACATAAATTAGCCCAGAGTGGAGATGACCGCTGTCCTTCCTGGGCACCAACACCCCGCAGCACCGGCCTTAGGGAGAGCCAGCCTGAATACACCACATTCTAGGCACCTGCCCCTCCCTCGCACCCAGAGCCCCTGTGACCCATTTCACAGACAGGAAAACAGAGACGGGCGAGGAATGCCTCCCGGGCCCCTTTCCTGCTGCAAACTAGCCTGGCTTCTCAGATCAGAGCCTGTTCTCTAGCCCAGGGAACCTCTCCCCGATAAGACTCTTCCCTCAAACCCCGGAGGTGTCACTCCCTGCCTAGGGCAGAAAGGAAGCTCAGAGTTGGAATCCGCTTTCCTCCAAGGGTGGATACATCTGGCTCTGCCTGCCTAGCCCAAGGGGTCTTCCTGGGTGTGTGCACCCGGGCCTGCTGGAATCACACAGCTCCAGGGTTCCGGTCACCTCCTGCCCGCGATCCCCTTGGGACACAGGACGTTAGCTGAGGAACTGGGGGTCCTTGTGGCCCAGGAGACCTGGCTTTCAGGCTCATCTCACCCTCTGCATGGCCCTGGCAGTGCCGTCACAGTCACAGTGCTCTGTGCCATCGTCAGGAGGTGGGCAGAGCCAGTGGGAGCACGGGCTGCTGTGGGCCAGAGCCACCCCCAGATGCTGCCCCTCTCCAGGCCCCAGTTCCCCTGGGTGTCCTCCAGGCTGCACACCTTCGAAGCACTGCCCAGTTGGTCTCGGGTTCTAAGGCCCCACCGGTCAGCTGGGCCATGCCCGTGGGGTGGGAGCGGCATGCAGCAGGCAGGGGTCTGACCCGCTGAGGATACCCGAGAGCATGCGGGAGTAACCAGGTGCTGTCTGGGGCCACCCAGGACCCCTGTGAGAGCTCATCTCTGTCTATGAAGGGCCCAGATGTCAGAACCCACCCCGACCTCTACACCCTCCCAGAAATACCAGGAATTAAATGTAATCCTTGGGGAGCAGCCCAGACCAGAGAAAGCTCCCAGAGATGCCCCCTGGAAGGGATCTCTGGGGCCTCCCCGCTGGCCAGCACGGGACTTGCACTTGGCTTCCCGTTAGGGCCAGTCCCCTGGGTCATGGCCGGACCTCCAAGGGCCTCATCAGAGCCTGGATTGGAGCCAAGGGGCCAGAGCCTTGGCCTCACCAGAGGGAGGGAGCAAGAAGTCGCCACTTCTCTGAGCCTCAGCGTCCCCAGCAGAGCAATGGGGATGAGGCCTCCGGCCTCTTCTCAGCTCAGTGGGGAAAGGCTGCGGGGTGGGGTGGGGTGCCCCCATCCCTGGGAAGGCACCTGCAGGGGTGTCTCCGGCTCTGAGCCCGCGAGGCCAGCAGAGGGCGCGCGCCGGGTCCCGGACGGAACCCACGCGGCAAGGACCTCTCCCAAAGCGCGCAGCGCGAACACGCAGGTACCCAGTGCGCTCTGCCCGAACCGGCCCTGGGAGCGCGGCTGGGCCTCCTGGCTTCCGGGGGACCGCAGCACAGAGTTAGAAAGCCCTGCCCCTCTCGGCCGTCCTGGAGGACGCCCGCCTGCTCTGCCTGTTGCTTCGATGACTGCGGAAGTTGGGGAGGCCACGGCCTCGCAGGGAACCCGGGTGGGCGCGCCCACGGGGCGGGGCTTGCAGGACCAGACGCTCACCCCCCGGGCGCGTGAGGTCTAGGGAGGGGAGTGGGCGCTGCATCCGTGACTGCCCCAGGACGTGGGGGAAGCTGGCGGGGAAGCAGCCAGCCGCAAGAGGTGGCAGTGGAGGGAGGGAGAGGGGCGCCCACCCGGGCCGCTAGGCCCTCCTGCGCAGAGTGTTGCGGCAGGCCCTTCTGAACACCCTCAGAGAGGTCAAAGGAGCCAGCGCTACTCTTCCGCTGCTTTAAAAAATCTCTAAAATAAAGGAGAGGGGCGTGCAAACTGCAGGGCGGCCCTCCCCACCCTCAGGGGCAAGATCCTCCACCTCCCCAAGGATGCCCCAAACTAGCAGGTGTCCAGAGAGGAAGTCACGCGGGGAGCAGCTGCCTGGGCCTGGGACGCAGCAGCCCCTTTGGCCTGCCTGGCTGAGCCCCTGGGTCCACACTGGGAATTGCCTGCCCTAGTCTGTGTCCCTGCCCATGAGGTGGGCGAGGGTCCTGCTGTCCAGGAATTCCTCGAGAGCTGGACGCCAGGCACAGCATAAGGCCACTCGGCAAGGCCTCAGATGTGGGGATCTGCGTCCCTGGGCCCCAAGGGGACACACGGTGGCAGACAGCTGAGCCCATGGGCAGGGCACTGAGACTGGGCAGGCAGCTGGCCCAGGGTGAGCCCTGGGGACACCCACTAAGGCAGTCGCGACTCTATCCATCTGGCCATCAGAGGGCACAATGCCCCCTCCCCCAGGACGACGGACTCGTGCACAGCCACCATCCCAGGACCCCCAGACACATCTGAATCTCTGGCTCTGAATCTCAACCTTAATTTATTTCCCTCTGCCCTGGCCAATCCCTCAAGTGCCCAGTCAGCCAGCTGGCGAGGGCCCCGCAGCGCTAATTCCCTGCCCCAACCGAGGGCCTCCTGGACACTGTGCAGATACCTCCGCGGTTGGGGGCGCCTGGGGCAGAAATTCTGCCACTGTTGGCCCTGGGGGAAGGATGCCAGGGTGGAAGCAGTTGTTGCCCTAACTTCTCCGAGGTGGGAGGCCCACAGGAGCAGAGGGCTCCAGCAGCCCCGCCAGGACTTCCAATCCCAGCCACCCATTCCCTGACCCGGGCCAGTCCTGCTGGCAGGAATCAGCGCCACTGCAGTGAGCAAAGGCCCTCCTCCACCCTGTGGTCAACCTGTCCTCCAAAGACAAGACCAAGACGGCCCTCCTGGCTCAAACATTCCTCCAGCCGGCCTGACAGCTCAGAGTGCTCAGCTGCCGCATGGAGAAGCCACAGAAGCCCGAGGGTGCTGCCCATTCAACCACCTTGATGCTAGCCTGTTGCTTGCGCATGCACACACACACAGACATGTGCACAGGCACGCATATATGCACACACACAAATGCGCACACACACGAATGCACATATGCATACAAATGCACACAGGCACACATAGGCATATGCGCACACACACGAATGCACACAGGTACACATATGCACACACACGAACGCACACAAGCACGCACATATGCACACACATGACTGCACACAGGCATACACATATGCACACAAAGGCACAGGCACACAGATACATACCCATACACACAAATGCACACAGGCATATGTGCACACACGAACGCACACAGGCACACACATAAATATGTGCACACACATGAATGCACATAGGCACCACATACATATGCACACACAAATACACAGGCATATGCGCACACACGCATGCACACCAGCATGCATATATGCACACAAATGTATACAGGCATGCACATACATATCCACACACACAAATGCACACAGGCACACACAGGCATATGCGGACACACACAAACACACACGCACACACATACGCATATACACAAATGCACACCTACATGAATGCACACAGGCATGTACATATGCACACAAATGCACACAGGCACACAGGCATATGTGCACACACGAACGCACACAGGCACGCACATGTGCACACACACGAACACAGACATGCACACAGATACGAACACAGACAGGCACACACATGCATATGTGTGCACATAAACGAATGCACACAGGCACACACATGCATATGCGCACACAGGAACGCACGAACACATACAGGCACACATATGCGTATGTGCACACACGAACGCACACAGGCACACATGCATATAAGCACACACGAATGCACAGAGGCACACACATGCATGCACACACACACGAAGGCATACAGGCACACACATGCCTATGTGCACATATGAATGCACAAAGGCACATTATGCACACATATGCACATTGGATACACACTGGATACACTCATCCCTAGTCCAGTCATTGAGCCCAACTCCCCATCCAGGCCGACATACCTTCCATGACCAAGGACAGCTGCTGAGCCAGGGATAGCAGTGGCATCGTCACATGGTGCCACCCAAGGCCCAGGCACCCTGTCTTGTGGCCCCTGCCCTGCTCCGGGGCTCAGGCAGCTGCTCAGGACCACTGGCTGGACGGCATGCCCACAGCTTCCTCTGAAGCCCCACTGGGAAGCTTGTCTGGCAACACTCAGCTCAGACACCCATGGAGATCCCAAGAGCCACCTCTCCCAAGGACCCCCCTCCCTCCATAAAGAACAGAGGCTTCTGGCCAACTGTCCTGGCTGCAGACCCCAGACTTGCTAGGCAAGGTGGCTGCCCCTCTCCAGCCCCACTGCCCCATCACTAAATGCTCATTTTGTAAATTTCCAACCGCCCAACCCTTCCCTGGCCCTCAGAACCTTTTGGAGTCTCCTGGGAAGGTGCATGGACATGGCCACAGCCCACCTGACTCACCTTTATGTCCGGGAGGGTCCCACTTCCCCCACCCCTTTTGAAGGGCCTGCGCAACAGCCCCTGTGCTCTCTCCGCTTTCCGTCCACCCACCAAAGTCCATGGACCTCTGCCCCCAACGGCTACCCGCACCTGCCCAAGGCTCTGGAAGCCTGGAGGCCAGACCCAGAGTCTGGGGCATGACCTCCCAGGGCAACCCCTGAAGGAGGGAGACTGGGAACCTGAGGCTGGCATCTGTGGATGGGGCTCTAAGCCTCAAAGGCTGGAAACCAGGAGGAAGGGCTCCCCGGGGCAGGGAGGGCTCCCCAGGCCAGGGAGGGCTCCCCGGAAAAGGGAGAGCTCCCCAGGGCAGGAAGGGCTCCCCAGGGGGCTTTGGGCAGCACCTTCTTGGCTTCAGTCCTATGCCCCGAGGAATGGGGACAAGTCCCGTCCGGCCAGCCTGATCCCTCCGTTCATGGGAGCCCCACCAGCCTAGATAGCCCCCCATGCCACAAAACCCATCCTGGAAATGGGCCCCAGCTTCCCTGGTCCCATCTCAGCCCCTGGCTGGATGGCGGGGACTTAGAAACAAGGACGTCCCCAGCACACTTGTAAGGAAAACCCTTTAATGTTGGGCTTTCTTTAAATACAACAGAAAGACTGCAGCTTTCCCATGATGGCGGGAAGATTAAAAATAGCGGGGGGTGGGGTTCCATCAGGGGCAGCGCTGCACCTCCTGGCTCTGGCTCAAGGTGGGCTTCCTGGAGGCGGCAGCAAGGAGGCAGTGTGCAGGGGCACAGGCAGGCGGGCACACAGCCCTGGGCAGACAAGCAGTGACTCCTGTGCTCAGCTAGATGGGGTACCCCCTCCCTGGAAGCTGAGGGCATCAGTGGAGCCTCAGGCTGGGACCAGCCACAACTTTGCCTCAGTGACTCTGGGCCATTCCAGGCCTCAGTTTCCCCAGCTGTAAGGTGAGGCATTAGGCAGGAGTGGGTGGCCCTGGCCAGTGTCCCAGCAGCCTGGTGTCTCCATCAGGGAGGACTGAGAAGCTGCCCGGAGAGGCTGTGCTAGCCTAAGGCAGGGCCGGCCCAGCAGTCGACGAGGGACACGCTAAACACAGAGGGCAGAGTTGGTGAGGAGATGCCTGCTGGCCAGGCCACAAACAGGCAGCTCTACGGGGGCACGGAGGCCTGTGGTGCTGTAGGCCCAGAGAGGGCAAGGACCAGCCGAAGGTCACAGAGCATGGCCCTGGTGGGCACTGAGGGGTGCAAGCGGGCAAGGGCGCCCCTGCAGAGTCCCACACCTGCTTCCTTCCCTCCAACAAGGGCACCCCAGCACGAAGTTTGCTGCCTCTCCAGAAGCCCCTGTGCTACCCAGTCTGGTCCCTCCCGGGCACAAGGCGGCCCTCCCGCCCAGCCTGCCTGGGGAGGAGCTGGTGCCCCGTCCTCTGCCAGCAAATGCCTCCCTTCCTTCCGCCTCCAGATCCAGCCTCTGACCACCCAGGCTCTGCCCCAGGCCTGCGTCCACCTCAGCAGAAGCCAGAGGGGGCTGCCTAGCAGGCGCTGCTCTGACCCTTCAAGAGTGCCCGCTGCACCTGAACCATGCCCAGGGCCTGTGTACCCAGGATGCTCTGGCCTGGCCGTGCCTCGTCCCTTTCAGCAGTGCCAGCCAGGATCCAGGCTCAGGAGGCACTCGTGGGTCCCTCTGCTCCAGGCACCACCCTCCCCTACCCAGGCCCATGAGTGGCCGCATTGTGGGGCAGGGCGGGCCTCCCTTTTGCCCACCCCTCCTCACCTTGAGGGCAGAGCTAGGTCAGATTGCTGATGCCACTCCCTCCCTCTGCCTAGCGTGGAGCCCAGCAGAGGAGGGTCAATAACTGGGGGGCCCTGCGGGTGAAGGGGGGTGGGCCAGGCTGGTCAAGAGGCCCCTCCTGCTGTAAGAGAGGGCAGCCCAGCCTGCCATCTCTGCACAGCCCCCAGGCCCAGGAGGATGGCCGGGGCAGGCAGGGCGTGAAGGTGGCAATCACTGGTCTTTGGTGACATCGCTGAGCCCACTCTCCATGCGAAGCAGCTGGCTGCTGGCCTCGTTGTAGGAGATCCAGTGCTGCAGGTCCGCCGGCAGCTCAGGGGGCTCCACCTGCAAGGGGCAGAAGGGAGACCCAGGCAAGCTGCTGCCTTTCCACCTCCGGGCTGCTGCCCACATCGCTCCCCAGCCCGTCACCTTCCGGGAGTCCCCGCCCCGCCACCTGCCAGGCTGTGCCCATGCCTCCCCAGGCCCTGCACGCTTGTGCTACCCCGCATACCCACCTTGACATGGCCCCGCCTGTGCCAGGCCCATCTCCCCTAGGGGCCACCCCAGAACCCAGCCAGAAGCCTAAGAAGTTGGTACATTGGGAAGGGCAGACAGGAAATCCAGAGGCCTCAGGGTGACAGGGGACAGAGGAACGGAGGGAGCTCCAGCATGGAGCCCTCCTCTGGGAAGGCACCAGACGGGGCACTCAGAGGACAGCACTTCATCTCCCAGGGCAACTTGGGCCTGAGCCCTCCACTCTCAACTCTCTCTGCACACAGGGCCACCATGTGGCAATGGGAGCCCGGCTCCAGGCCTCTCCTGGGCGGTCCACAGCCTTGCAGATGGGCATTGGGATCTCCCAGGATGAAGGGAGAGGCCAAGCACACGCCCACCCCCACTTCAGGGTGAGCAGCACACGGAGACAGAGCCCAGACCTTCCCTGCAGATGAGCTGGGATCCCCTGCAAGTCCCAGCAGAGCTGGATCTGGACTCCCCTGGACCACTCCCCTCCCTGCCTAGTTTCAACTGCTCGACCAACTCACTCCAGCCCAGCTCTTCCTCTCTGGCCACATCACCCCCCGACAGCCTCTCAGCACGCAGGACCCCGATCTGGCTCAGCCTGCCCCAAACCATACTCATGGCCCTTCCAGCTCATCACAGGGTCTCTGCTGTTCTGGGTCCCAGCCTTCACCTCCCACACGGCCCTCACCAACCAGCCACACCTGATTTCATTACGCCCTCCCTCCCAGAAAAGCAACCCTGCTCCCCATCTCCTCGGCCTCTGCATCCGGCTCTCAGCCTTGGCAGCCTCCCCCGCTCCCCGGCCCCAGACTCTTAGATGCATGAGAGACACACAGAGCCCAGCAACTGGGGGCAGAGAGACACTCAGGCCCTCTAGGGTATTCCTGACTATAACCCAAAAACAACATCGGAAGGTACCCCCAACCATCTGAATGAACTTCCTCCAACAGGCCGGTGCCCTCCAAATTTAACCGCAACACTAGCTCAGGCCGTGATGGAAGAGGGTGTGGGACAGGCCTCTAATGCCTCCAACATTAACAATACAGACCTTAAGTCTCACAGGAAACATTTACAGTCTCTTCCCTCTGAAGTCTGCTGCCCGAGGCTTCGTCTCCACAACCCCTTATCTTAACCCACACTTGCCTTTCTACTGACAATAGCTCTCAACCAACCGCCAAGCAGAAAACTTTTAAATCTACCCGTGATCTGGAAGTCCTCTTCCAGATGGCGTCCATGTGAATCTTACATGTATTGATTGTACTGCACCTCCTTGAAATGTATAAAAGCAAGCTGTACCCCGAGCACCTTGGGCACATGTCACTAGGGCTGGTGCATCCTTATCCTTGGGGAAATAAACTTTCTAAATCGACTGAGACCTATCTCGGATGCTTTTTGGTTCACATGACTCAACGGAAACAGAAGACCAGGGAGCTGTGCCCTGCGGCCTGCCGTGCAGCTTTGGGCAGTGCCACTGCCCCTGTGAGCCCCAGCCTCCCCACCCCTGACATGACCTCTCAGTGTCAGAGGCGTTTCAATCAGAGCGACTCCATTTTGCGTGAGGAGTAGAAAAATCAGGCTGGGCCTTGCTGGGCTGCCTTCTCAGAAAACCAGGCATTCCTGGCCTCTAAATGTTTATGGTTAAGGAGACAAATTAATAATGTTTACTAAACAGACCCCGACTTGGGAGCATCCAGATATACCACTATCTGGAGAACAAAGGCGTTCCTAATTTTGCTTTAAAAGATAGTAATATCGATTCTTGCAAAATAGAGTAACTAAGAAAATTAATCCTTTATCACACACCCTTGTAGTAGCGCACACGTGTCCCTCTATGCCAGCAGTGCGCCTGGGGTGGAACGCCCTAACCTGCTTTCACTTTGCACTGCGGACTCGCCCTGAATTCTCTCTTACGCAAGATCCAATAACCCTCTCTTGAGGTCTGGATCGGGGCCCCTTTCCTGTAACATCAGGACTGAGGTGAGACTTTCTGACTCTCTGCTCTGGAGGCACCTGCCGGAAATCGGGAGGGGAGTGCTTTTTTTTTTTTTTTTTTTTTCTCCGTTTTTGTTTTAGAGTCAGATATTTCTCTTTACATCCTGTACTCCCATCCACTCTGGAATGCCCAAACCTAGCTTTTAGAAGAAATGTGTTTCTAACTGGCTGAATCTAAACATAGCTGCAACTTCTTAAAAGGAACCAACACACAGCAGATCAGTTTGTAAGAAGCGGGTCTTCTAAAGGCACACCAGGGGTGGGCAGGCCCTGGCTTCCTGCCTGGATGCTCCTGGCAGCTTTTCAGGCACCTCGTCTGGTGACATCGGCCCGGTGGCTGTCCCCAGGGCCCCAGTTCCATGCTGCAGGGCGGTTCTGCCCTGCCGAAAGGAGCGAGCCCTGGTGAGGGGCGTGGCCCACCTCTCTCCAACTGCAGAAAGGGCAAAAGGCTTGCAGCTCCCCGGCTCAGCCCTTCGACCCCAACCCAGGTGGCCAGGACCCAGCCCTCAGCTCTGTGAAAGGGGCCTCCGGTCCTCGGGAACTCCCAGAACCCTCCTCTAACTGATCACCCCGCAGCGTATGTTCAAGATCAAGCACCAGAGAGGAAGGTCAGCACTCCAGCCACAGCACAGCGCCCGACCTTAGGGTCTCAGGAGCGAGCGGAGGGGTCGCCAGGAAACCATGAGGGGCCAGTTTGAGAAAGGACAGGAGGGAAGCACGGTAAGCCCGAACGAAGAGCTGATTCGGGGACCCCAGGGACCCCCAGGAAGAAAGGCATCAGCCAGGAACGCCCCCGGCAGAGAGGGCGGGGCGGCAGCGGTGAGGGGCAGGACGGCAGCAGGATCTTCCCCGGGGGAGCTCCCGGGGGTCCCGCAAAGGCCGTGCGCCGGGCCGGGGGTCGCTCACCCTGCGCTGGCACAGCTGCTGCACGACGCGCTCGGGCGAGGTCCCCAGCAGGTGCTGCCGGAAGCGCAGCAGCGCGCACACGAAGCCGTCCCGCCGGCTGACGAAGCGCGCCTCCAGGTAGAACGCGCGGTCGTCCCAGCCCAGCAGGCGCGTGCGCACCTCGAAGGGCTCCCCCAGGCGCAGCGGGCGGCGGTAGCGCGCGCACGAGGCCGCCAGCACGGTGTGCGCCCGCAGCTCCCACAGCGCCCCGAGCACCCCGCAGCGGGTCAAGTGCGCCACGCGCGCTAAGTCGGCCTCGCGCAGGTAGCGCGCGTTGTTCATGTGCAGCAGCAGGTCCAGGTCCGAGGGCAGCACGCGGCCCGCGAAGCGCTGCTCCGCCAGCAGGTCACGGACGCGCGGCTGCAGGAAGCGCGCGCGCAGCACGGCGCACGGGAAGCGCACCAGGTACCAGCCGTCCAGCAGCGCGAAGGCCGCGAGCCCCAGGCCCAGCAGCGCCACCAGCAGCCCCAGCATCGCGGCGGCGGCGGCGGGCGAAGGGGGCGGCCGCAGGGCCCGCCGGGCTTCCTGGGAACGCGCGAGCGCGGCGCGGCCGGAGTGAACCCCTGCGCGCGGCCGGCCGAGGGGCAGGTGCCGGAGCCGCGCCCGCGCCCGCCGCCCCCCTCCGCGCTCTGCGTGGCCCGACCTCTGCCCCGGCGGCGCCGCGGACGCGTTGGGGGGCGGGGCGCGCGCTGGGCGTCACAGCGGCCCCTGGCGGCCGTGCGCGGCGCTGCAGCACGAGGGTGCCCGGGCGCCCCGCGTCTCCAGCTCCCCGGCGGCGCGCGCCCCTCGCCGGCCCGGCCCCTCGTCTGCGCGCGGTCAGAGGCTCCGGCACTTCCGCAGCCAGCGCCGCGGGACTCCGTGGAAAACGCGACCCAGCGCGGTCGCCGGCGGCGCTGCCGCGGACTCACGGGAGCCCAGCCCCCTGCTGCGGGACCGCAGCCCCCCCAGCCCGCGGGGCGCCCGCCGCGCTCACGGAGCGTCGCGCTCTGGTCCCCACGCTCTGGTTCAGCCCCAGCCAGTACCTCCCTTCTGGCCCTAAGCTTTCGTCCTACTCCTCGGAGGTCCCGCCGGCCCCAGGCTCCTCCCGAGCGTTCCCGCCCTTGGTCCCTTTGAAACCTGAGCAGCGCAGGGCTGGGCGGGAGGGAAGGAGCCCGGGGGAGCGTCAGTGACTCAGCGGCGGACTCGAGCGTCGCCAGGCGCCGGGGCGCGGGCCCAGCGGGCCGCCCTGTGCTCTATGAGGCTGGGGAGGAAACGCGGCCCGGAGAAGCGGGGGGACAGCTCCCTGCCAGCCGCAGGTTCTAAATGGCAGCGGGTGCCTGTGACCCGGGATGGGGTCCCGGGATTGCTGGGTTAAACAAGCTCCTGAGTCAGGCCTGGGCCTGGGCTCCGGTTCCAGGGTTCTGTACCTCCCTCGAAGGAGGAGCTCTGGCTCTGCTCGGTAGCCCCAGGGACAGGGAGCTCACTGCCTATCAGGGTGGCTCCCTCAGCGTGGCTCACACTGTCCCTGTCCTGTCACCTTGTAGCTTGACTCTGAGCCGTCTGTCCCAGGGAGGGGCGGCCCCTTGGGAATCAAGGGACTGAGGACACAGCTGTTGAGACTGTTGGCCATTGCTCAAAGAATGCAGCCTCCTGGTCACCGACGTTGTCCCCCGGCCACGAAAAAGGGTGAAACACTGTGCAATGTTTGAAGAGATGTTTTCTGAGCCAAATAGAAGTGGCTGTGGCCGGTGACACAGCCTCAGAAGACCCCAAGAGCATGGATCAAGTGGTCAGGCTATGATTTGGTTCCACAAATTTTAGGGAGACGTAAGACATCAGTCAATGCTTGTAGGCTGCACGTTGGTTTGGTCTGAACTGATGTTTCAGGTGAACTCTGGCATGCCCTTGGTCAAGAGGAGAGGCCCATTCAGATGGTTGGGGGCTGGGAATTTCATTTTTGGGTTACACCACTATGTCCTTCGAGCTCTGGAGCATCAGTGAAGGTTGGTAAATGAGAGACCAGTGGAGTTTCCAAGGCCTCCCCGGCCCCGGCCCCTGCCCCCACCCTGCACATACGTTCCCAGCTTCTGCCCTTCCAGCTCCCCTCCCACGCATATGCTGTTCCCTCCTCTTCATCCTCCCCTTCCTGGGCCTGGAAACTGGGAGAGATCCCAGGGCTCTCCTTGCACAGGGCGCAGTGACCTTGCCGAAGTCTCACACAGGGAATCTATGAGCAGGGAATACTTTTGTCCCTGTGGGACCCTGGAGCCAGGGGGCCAGGGCCTGGTTGGCCTCCTAACTGCTGTGTCTCAGGGCCAGGGCAGGGCCAGGCACCCAGCGGTCTTAGTACCCACAAAAGCCGAAGGGACCCACAGCTTCCCCATCACTCGCTTGCATCAGTCTAACGCAATGGGTTTGGGCAGCTTGGGATGGGTCACTGGCAGCTTACTGGGGGACTTGAAGGAGTCAAGGTCAGATGAGGGACTTCAGGTTGCCAGACCTGGCTCCTCCTTGCCTGGGCTTGGGTTGTCCAAGCCTACAGAGCCGTGCAGGGAGAAGGAGTGAGGCAAGCGGGTGGTGGTGCCCCCGGCTCCCTTGGCTCCTCAGGGATCCCGTGTATGCAGCAGCACTGACATCACTTCCAGAGACAGGCCTGCAGCCTGAGTTCTGGTGGCCACCACCTGGGTTCCAGGCTCCAGGTGAGGAGGAGCAAAGGCTCAGGGCACTGCCCAGGGGAACACTACAGGAGAACAGCGAGTGTGGGACCTGCCCCAGCCCTCAGCCTCGACTCCCTCCCTGCAGGGTGAGCTCTGCGGTCCCTCCTGGCAGCAGCTCCTCTGAAATGCTCACAGATATTACATTGCGGTTTGGGGATATGAGCACTGCACTTTCTTTTCCTGTTGTTGTGTTTCTATCATTTGTAAAGATGGGCCACTGCGTCACATTGCTTTGAAGAGTAACCAGTGGCCATTGTAGGACTCCAGCTTCTGAATTAGGACATCCAGGCTTTGCCCAAACCTGTCATATACAGATAGAAAGAAAGGCTCCTGCAAATCTGGGAGTCCTAGGGCAGGGGCCTTCCTTACTCAGATTTTAGGGTTTTGTATGCTTGCTGACAGGCTTCTGCCCAGTGGGATGGTGGTTTTTCTCCACACTTGAGTGGGTTTAACTATGAGGCCGAAGCTTAGGATCTAAACCCAGCAGAAGCCAGCCATCTGCAGAAATCGTGCAGCTCTGTTCTACCACCGGGGACTGATAGTGAAGCAATGGCCTGCTTTCAGTCTGGGGCAAGCATCCTAGCTTCTGGCATAAGTCTGTACCCTGGGTATCCAAGCTGTGTCTGGGAGATCTGGGGCTTTACGGGGAAGACCTTATATCCCCATTCAGCCAAGAAATTTAAGGTTTTAATAGTATTTTCTTGAAAACTATGGAAGTCCTCACTAGCAATAAGCGAGTCATCCACATAACTGCAGTACATTTCCACTTGCAAGTTTAAGATGTCTGAAGTGTTTTGCCAGGGCCTGCCCAGAGAGGTAGGAGCTATCCTGAAACCCCTGGGGGAGCACTGTACACTGGGGAGTGTCCTGGGTCTCTGGATCTTTCCATTCAAAGGCAAAACTATAGGCGAATTTGGGATGCAGTGAGATACAAAGGAAGGCATCCTCTCGATCCAGCGCTGCATGGAACTGAGCGTGCACAGGACCCGAGAGAGGACTGTGGGACGACTGGGGACAGCTGAGTCATTCCCTGCCCTCAGGTCCTGAACAAACCAGCGTTCCCCATTTGCTTTCTCCACGGGCAGGACTGGGATGTTACGAAGTGACTGGCAGGGCTTAATAAGCCTGTGCTGTAGGAGTTTTTCCAGGGGGAGCTGTGTCCCCTGTAGGGCTTCTGGCCTCACAGGGTATTTGAGGCTTGCAGGGGTGGGGTATGCTTGGCTTAAATTTTGTCTTAATAGGCTCTGCATCGATGGCTTGTTCCAGAGTGCCGGCATCCCACATAAGCTTTGCCACTTGAGCCAGTATCTCTTCCAGGCCAGGAGGCAGCTTCTGACCTTTGGGAGCCAACAGGGCCAATAAATGGATTCCCTTCTCCACAGGTACCGAGACTTGACCGCATTCCCCTGGAGGGAAACTGAGGCTCCCAGGTTGGATAATAAATCATGACCTATTAAAGGAAGGGGACAGTCACGGACGTATAGGAAGTAATGAGTCATAGTCTTAAATCCAATTTCACAAGTCAGAGGAAAGGCAAATCATTTTATCTTTTCCTGGCCATCTGTTCCCATCACCATACAGTTGGCACTGCAGAGGTCCCACAGGGTGGGTCAGGACAGAGTAGGTTGTCCCAGTGTCAAATAGTTAATTCAGGTTTCCTACTTGCCATGTTGAGAGTGACCTGAGGCTTTGCAGTGGTGATGCCGATAGAAATCTTCGGGACTGCAGCTGGCCAAGCACGTGGAGCTGGAGCAGAGAGGGTGGCCTTTTCAGCCAAGAGTCCAGCATCGAGAGGACTGGGTTGGGGAGATTCATTCTGTCATGACTTCCCAGCATAGAATGAACAGTCCCTTGCTCAGCACCCCTCCTTCTTATAATAAGAACACTGGTTGTGCCTCAGTCCTATTGCTGCTGGTTGAGGCCCTGTCACCCCTTGTTTGGAGTGTTTCTGTTGCCTAGGGTCACCTTGAGGCAGACCTGTCACTGTGGCAGCCAAAATGTGTGCCTTTTCATTCTCTCATCCTTTCCTTCCTCCTCTGCCTGGTCCTTATTGTTAAAAACCTTAAAGGCCCCCGCTATCCATGTCACCTGACGTGTCCTGGGGTACGCTTCCAGTTTCTGAAACTTTCTCCGAATGTCTGGTGGAGCGTGGGTTATGAAATGCATGGTAGCTGTCGTTCGTTTTTATAAGAAGCTGTCAGAGCGCCTTCCGTGGCGGCTGTACCATTTTACATTTTCACCAGCTGCGTATCAGGGATCCAGCTCTCTGCATCCTTTTCAGGATTCGGCGTCGTCACTGTTTTCTATTCTAGCCATTCTCATAGGGATGTGGTGATAGCTCATTGTAGCTTGAATCTACATTTTATAAAGGATAAGGATGTTGAATATTTTTTAATGTGCTTATTGGCCACCCATATCTGCTTACTGATGAAATGTCTGTTTATATGCCGGCCCATGTTCTCACTGATGTATTTTTTTTTTTCCTGTTGAGTTTTAAGAGTTCTTTATATGTTTTAGATAAAACTTCTTTGTCAGATTGTGGCTTGTGAATACTTCCTCCTAGTATGTAGCTTGTCTTTTCATCCTACTAACAGAGTCAAGAGCAAAGCAAAGGTTTTAATTTTGGTGAAGTCCAGCCAATCAATTGCTCCTTCTGTGGATTCAGTTTTCCGTGTCAACGTTAGGAATGCTTTACCTAGCCCTCGATGGTATCTCTTTATGTTTTTAATCTGGAGATTTCATCTCTTTTATTCCTGATTTTGATCATTTGTGCCTTCTGTCTTAGTCATGATCAGTCTTTCTGGGATTTATAAGTTTTATTAGATTTTTCAAATAAACAACCTTTTATTTTGAGTTTTTGGTGAATTTTCTTTTATTAGTTTGAATTTCTTCTTTCTGTGGATATGTTTGCTATCCTCTTTCTAATTTCTTGAAGTAGATACTCAGATCTCTGTCCTTCAGACTTTTTCCCATTAGT